TTATCCTGCTGTGCTTCCAAAATTATCGATTTTTCTTGAAAATTATGTTACAATTTTCTTTATTTTGTTGTTTTGGAAAAAACACGTCATGCTTATTTTTATATAATATACAGTATGTCCCCCTAAGTTGGAATCATATAGAAAACTTTTTATTATTAATTTTAAGAAAAAAAGTTATTCTCCATAAAAAGTTCTGCATTATCTAAAATCTAGAATACAGTCATCTAATATCAAATTTTTTAAGTGTTATACGAGGTTTGTCAAAAAAATATGAATTTTGTTCAAGAGTAAAGTACGTTTATTTTTGACAAAATCGAAAATTTACATTAGGAAAAGTTGATTAGAATTGAAAATTACATTTAAATATGCAATTACACTGATCTATCTGAAAAATTAGATTTTTTCTAGATTTTGCATTGATCCACCTAATCACGGTAATCCATAATTTTTTCTCTCTCTTCTCTACTATAAACATGATACGCTTTCCTTTTATTGATGTTTGTAAAGAATTTAGCAATTTTCTCTATGAAAATTTTCGATTTTGTAAAATTTAAAGGTACTTTACTCTTGAGTAAAACTGATATTTTTTGACGAACCTCGTATACCACTGAAAAAAATTGATATTTGATGATTGTATTCTAGGTTTTATATAATGCAGAACTTTTTATGAAGAATAACTTTTTTTTCTAAAATTAATAATAAAAATGTTTCCATACGATTCCAATTATGGGGACATACTGCATACACAGATCCAGCCCTTTTAAATTATATATATATTGTATAAGTGACACTCTGTACAAAAGGCTTTTTTCATACTTCATTTTCGTTTTGTATAGTTTGATTTAAAATATAGTTTTACTTTTTGAAGAATTCTACAATAATGCGTCTTTTTTTTTCAGAAAGAAAATTCCAGTTGAAATTGCGGCGCCAATATAACATGTGTATGTGTCATTAGGTTTAGGTTTTCCTTGGCTGCGGGTACTATGTTAATTCGTTAGCTTAAAATGAATATGATATTTAATATAATAAATAATATGTTTATACTACAGTTTATTTTTTTTTAAATATATTTAGCTTGCTCATAATATTTGTCTTTGTTTTACCTAACTATACTTAATACAATAACAATAAAGAATAAGATTTATTTGTAAGATGTTTATATGTTAGATAACTCGTGCGTTGTATTCAGTTTAAAACTTACTTCACATATTCAATGATATTTTGGTGGTTTTTTTAGGTATGGTGTATATTTAATTGTAAAAATAAAATGTTGATAGTCTTTCTACCCTACATGCTATACCTATGCTGTGTAGCATTAAAAATAGTTAACACTAGAACAGTAAACTTTGTGTGTGCGTATATACCAAATTAAAAATACAGGGAGTTCTGATGTTATGCTACTGAAATGCTGATTTTCTTCATATGGAATGTTTTTAGATTATGCAGTACAGTATAGAAGATATTCTATGGATATCCAGTAAAATATCTAATAGGTACCTTTAGTAGAGGTTCATAAGGTTACTTACGGACCTGGTCCGTAGTAGAGGTTCATAAGGTTACTTATGAACCTCTACTAAAGGTACCTATTAGATATTTTGCTGGATATCCATAGAATATCTTCTATATCCTGGATATAGACGGACATTTGGATATCCATATTAGATCCAGTGGATATCTATGATATCCTGTGGATATATTGAATATCCACAAAATATATTTTGTGAATATCTCTGGGATTTCGTGTATTGTCTGGGAGATACCCATTAGATATTTTGCTGGATATCTTCTATATCCTGGATATAGACGGACATTTGAATATCCATATTAGATCCATGGGATATTTATGATATCCTGTGGATATATTGGATATCCACAAAAGATATTCTGTGGATATCTCTGGGATTTGGTGTGTTGTCTGGGTAAAGATATATAAGAGTATAAATAAGTTTTTGGACACTGGCGTAAAATTTAGAAGGGATAAAGGTGTCACTTATCCATGCCGTACGCCACATATTTTTTGCTGATAGGTGTATATCTTATGATATTAGAGAGTTGAAGTTTTTCCAGTACGTTAACGTAAACGTCAACGCAGAAAAATAATGTTTACGTTGAAGTCCAAAATATGAGTTGAAGTTGTTAAACGTATCGTGACATTTACGTGCCATGACAATTAATATTAGGATTTCTTCTTTCCCAATTAAAAAGAGGTTATTTTGTTTGCGTTACGTACATACGCCAGATCCCGTAAGCTTACGTATTTACGTAGACGTAAACATAAGGAATACGCATGCGCAGATGTCAGTTTTCACGTACACGTTTACGTTCATAGCATCACTTCAACTCTCTATTAAAAATGTTAACCGAGTAATAAAACAAATTAGTAATTTTTGAATTTTCAACTTTAACAACCTGTATTTCGGAAACTAGTAACATTTTTCATTATTTTTAATCAAAGTATCTTCAGTTGTTCTGTCATTTTCTTAATTATATACTCTGTATGTTTTTCAGTTTTTTTTTTATGACGCTTGAAAAAAGACGGACAGTCGCAGGTGTAGCTAAACCGATTTATCAAAGTCCAAAGACCTTTTCATAAATTTCATCGAAATCGAGGGAGCCGTTTTCGAGAAAAAAAAAGTACTTAATATTATACAGTGTATACCAAAAATAATGGAAATATGAAAACTTTTTTATTGTCGATTTCTCGGAAAAATATATTTTTGAGAAAAGTTGGTACTTGACCTAAAACGGAACAGAAACCTCAAAAATATTTAAAAAATTTGTTTCATACAAAAGAGAGATTAGAAAATATGAATTGGGCTACAGAGTAAAGGACCTTACTTTTAAAAATAGAGAAAAATGTTACATAAAAAACTTGTTTAGAATGAATATTTATTAGCAAATATGACAAAGCCAACGATATAAAAAAATGAAAAGGAACAAAAAGAGTGTGTAGCAAAAATTATGGAAACATGAAAAACTTGATATAAAAGCTAGTGCATCAAGTAAGACCCAATAAAAACATCATATATATTAAAAATTTTGTACCATATACGAAGGAGGTCAAAAAAAAAAGAATTTGGCTCAAGAGTAAAGTACTTTTAAAAATAGAGAGCAATGTGAAGACCTAGATAAAAAAAATTAAAAGGTATGAATATTTATCGGCAAATATGAAGACCTAGATAAAAACAATGAAAAGGTAATAATACTACACAAAAAATCTGAGAAACTTTGTATAATTTATTGAGTAGAATAGGTTAACAACATCGTAGCCGTAACATCCATGATAAAAAATCTGTAAATCTTACAATTAAAAAGGTACATTTTGGATCCCATAATCACGACAAACAAAAAATGCACGAACAGAAAAATAATGCATGTAAGTTTTAATATCACAGTTCCTGAGAACTTAATAAAAAAAATATATACTGGGCGAATCCTAAGTAAATACTTTTTTTAACTGTGCATGCAAGTCATTAAAATAAACAATTTTTCAAAAAAAAAAAAAATTTCAAAAATACAAAAATTACTATAATTACTTCCAAAATATATACAATACGGTCCTGTATAACTTTCGTAGAAAAATGTTAACATTTATTCTATTTGCATATTTTTAAATATTGTATATTTCTTATGAATAAAGTTATATTTATTATTATTATTATTTATTATTATTGTGAGAATCATTCATAAAAATTAACTCACGTTCAACGTGAAAGGAATATAATTGATTTGATCGCAATTATCCACACTTTTCTTTGACTTATTCCACCTGCTATGCCATCACCCTTGCACTTATCTAACAAGTCCTTGACAACATTATTTAAAATGTGTTCTTCTAAACGCACTTAATTTACTATACTGAACAGATAAATACACTACTGACCTAAATGAAATCAAGGCAGTTTAATACAATATTCGTGTTTCATATTTGTAAAAAAATAAACGTAGACAGACTAATAAATAGTTTGATTTTTCGTACACAAGTTCAAGCCTGAATTTAGTTTTATTAATTTTAAGTTTTTTTTCAAAAACGTTATTTGAAAAAGATGTTTATTTAAACGACTTTTATACACAGTTAAAAAAGTGTCAACTTAGGATTCCCCCTGTATATTTGTAGGATATTTCTTTATAAAAACAAAACAAAAAATAATTCCTATCCTAGCTCCTATGTACAATAAAATTTTTACAAAATCAACAATGCGCTTGCTTCACCTTGTACACAAAAACTATGTGTCAAGATATCGGGCGAAAGGGTTCTATGCATGTTTCGACGTTAAAAATCATTTTTAACAAACAATTTTAGGTATACTGATAATTAGTGTTGGACGATTAAAATTCCAGGTGTCTCGCTATCAGTCGAATATTTAAAGAAGGTAACAATAACCATGATATAATAAGAAGGGATGATAATACGCCAATTGATACTACTTCACGGTGACGTATTGTGGTGTAGAGGCGTGCCTTTTACGAATTTGAGGTATCAGCTGATCGAAAATAGCATATAAATATAATTTTAATCCGCTCATTGCCATATTCCACACTACAATACGTCATGCGCGGATCCGACTAGATTTCATCGGCTAAGTAATTTTTTGTATTCTAAACAATAACGGACTTTAAACGCTACTGTCATTATCAATTATTTAAAGTGAATGTATAAAACGTAAAGTAGGAATATAAAAAGCGAGGTTAAAAACTTCGCGAGGCGTTTATAAAAATCATCATTATTAAACATCAACCATCATTTCTGACGAAAAATCGTACTGACATTTGAGACAAGTAAAACTGCAACAGGACCCAATTACCCAATACTCACATATAAATCATTCAAGTCATATTTCACAAGATTTTTGCGTCATTTACAGTTACGAAAATGGAATAAACTGTAGTTAAAACTATTACAAAAATACTTAGATTTTAAGAAGAAATGTATGTCTTTTAAGGGAACTTACTTACTATTATTAAAAATACTTTGTGTCGTGAGTACTTAACACTGAGCAAAATTATAGAGTCTTCAAATGGCACACTACTAGTACTGGGGCAGATCGCACTGAAATTATACAGTGTATAAACGCATTCAACTCTACACAAGAGTAGTATACTCGCTAAACGTTTCAAGCATAAATTATTCGAATTTGCATGCAAGCGGGACTCTGACAGCTGTTAAAAAAAAATAATTATCAGTTACTAGTCACTATCAAAATAGGTTTTGCCAGTTTCCTGATATAAAATGGAACAAGCTATTGAAATGGTCGAGATTAAAAAAAATGAGAATTTGATAGTAATTACAAATAAAAATGGAGAAAACTGAATTGTGCCGAGTATGTGCGCAAAATGTTGTATTAAAACAGTAACTTGAAACTGCAAATCCACTTGCAAGACAAAAAATTAAGGTCTGGTGCCGTGTAATTTTATTTGAAGACTCTAGTTCACATATACTTAATTATATTAAAAATTTACTGTAAAATGACTGACGTAAAATGCGAAGCAAGCGAATTTTCTGAGGCAGAAGCAACATTTTGTTCGAAAAAAACCTATTACTTTTAAAGGACTGTTAGAAAAACAATTTAGGATGCCTGGGGTACGGTGTATTTGGGTAAACACAGCCCGAATTTGGATTCTATGCCTGAGAAGATTGGAAGTGATACTGAATAACCACCCACGTGGTCGGGGTTGGCCGGTTTTTTTACGTCGCCTATTGTTGATATTTGTTTGAATTCGGAACCAGTTGGTCGCCTGAAAAACGAAAACAAAACATTAAGGGTATGGTCCAATATTAAGCAAGTACCAATCGTAAGTAATCAGTATTTTTGACTACGGTTCCCGAAAATATAATATTTGTTGGTTACTTTTATATACCGGTTAGTGAATTGACGTTTGAGTTGCTATTTTTCAGGAATGTAGTTAGTTTTGGACAGAGCAACTGATATTTCGGTTAATATCGGACCATACTATTATTGCTATCAATAATTTTAGTCATTTGTCATCTTTGACCTGTCACTGTCCCAACAAACAAAATTAGTTTTATAATTTGTTGTTAGTGTTTGGATTAAAGTCGTTCTTATAAAATATGTTAACGTTTCCATCCTAACTCCAGTAGAACGGTAGAAGAACCAATGCTATTGAACAGAGACATAGAATAATACGTCTGAGGGTAGGAACAGCAGTATCCCATGCTTGCCAACTAAAGGGCATGGTTAAAGCAATTACTCTCAAGTCCAAATAAATAATGGCTATAAAACAATAGAAAGAATATGCCGATGATCTAGTGAAAATGTTCTTAAAACAAAATATGACACTTTTATAATTAAGACAATAATATCAGATACATTTTAATTTTATCAATCATTAAATGTGTTAATTATACATTTTAATTTTATCAATCATTAAATATGTTAGTTGGGATATGTCATCTCGCTTACATGTCAGTTATATCATTTGTGCAAAAGAATAGTGACACAACTCAAAAATTCTAATTTTCGAGCTTATTGAGAAAATGAATGGAGAAATCCGCAAATTTTTAGGTGGAAGAATGACATGTTGCTTCTTCAAAAAATGATCGCGATTACCGTACTACAAAGTCGCGAGTTCATGCTGATGAAAAGCGACACAAATCAAGTTGTTTCAATAGTCAATGAGATTAGATCGTCAATTTTCTGTTATAGTGAAATAGATCAAAATATGCCAGTTTTATTAAAATTAAATAAAGAACGTTATTTTCAACAGTGACCCAAGTCAAATTACGAAAATGTCACTATCAATATGGCGTGAAATATACTTTTCTGAAAAATCGTCATAACTCAAAAGGGCGATGAAAATATAATATTGTTGGGCCTTTTTCTTAATGTTATCAAAGTAAATTTGTTATTGTTTGAATAAAAGATACACAATTTTTTCCCAAAAAAGATTTAAACATTTTTAAAATGCAAGATGACTAGGGTTGGACAAAATATTAGTTTTTTTTTTAAATCGAAAATTGATTAATCTTTTTGGTTAATTATTTGATTATTTTCGATTTTTCAAAGATAATTATTAAATTCAATTTCGATTAATAGATTAAATGAAATAATCTAATGACCGATTAATCGTATAATCGATTTTAAAGGAGATACAAAAAATATATTATTTTTTTTTATTCTAATAAAAATATATTTGGGCAACAATTTTATTCAAAAATTATGCTAAAATTTTAAGTTTTTGTTAAAAAAAAACTTTTTTGACCATTCAAAATTTTTTGTTAAATTAATTAACATGGAGCACAAAAATTATAAAATTAAGATTAAAAAACAAATAATATCGATTAATCTAATAATTAATTATTCGAAAATAATCGATTTAACTATTTATCGAAAATAATCGATTTTATTATTTGAAAATAACTGATTAATGAAAAATAATCTATTTCTCGATTAATAGAAAATGTGATAAATCGAATTGAATAATCGAATTACTGAAACTAATCGATTAATTGAATAATCGAAAATAATTTATTAATCAACA